CTAAGGGACACTCGTCCCTGACCCATGCACAGATTTTGTGCACTGGGCCTCTAGTTGTAAATAATGCTGCAATGAAGATAGGGAGCATATATTCTTTTGATTTAGTGTTTTAGACTTCTTTGGATATATACCCAAGAGTGGAATGCTTAATCATATAAGGCAGTTCTGTTTTTATTTTTTTGTGGACTCTATACTGTTTTCCATAGTAGCTGCACCAGTCTGCATTCCCAGCAACAGTGCGTGAGGGTTTCCTTTTTTCCACATTCTCACTAACACTTGTTTGTGGAGTATTAATGATAGCAATTCTGACAGTGTGTGGTAATAACTCATTGTGGTTTTAATTTGCATTTGTAGGCAGAGATACTTTTAAGTAGAAGTAGGTATGGCTTTGAAGACCTGCTTCCATTCATACAGTAGGCAGTGAGTTGCCTAGTAACTTAATTTTTCATTAACTAGAACCTTGGACTTAAATCTTAATAATAGGCCAGACCTTGACAAAGAACATGTTTACTCCCCACCAATTTTCAGATCCAAGTTTGGTACTGGACCAGTCCAGTAAGTCTAGAATAAAATAAAAAACAAGAGAGGGATTTTGTTCCTCTTTGCCCAGTAGCAGGCTGACCAATAACTTCCATCCCAGGACTTTTCAGTTCTGGGCTCAGCTGCTGAATAACTAATCCAAATAGAAATAGGAGAGAGATGCCCATGTATACTTGGGCTTTTGTCAGATTTGGAGATAACATTTAAGGATTGAGGACTCTAGTGGTAGAAAAATATATCACATCAAATCAGTTAACTAGTATCCTTTGGACAAGGTAGTGGGATTTGGGGTGTGGTGAAAGAGTTATGGTGGCAAAGGGTCTTTAACTTTATGTGAATTTATATTTTGAATTGATTATAGTCAGAATGTATTAATGTTTTATTTATGTCTTTAAAAGGAAAAAAAGAATCAGGTTTCTCCAAGTAGTATAAAGGAAAGGTCTTTTGGGGCAGAAATAATGGGATAACAATGATAAAGTTGTGAAAAGTTGAGTCACAGAACACTGAAAATATACATGTGGCTGGACAGTGTGAAGGGTGGAATATAAGGCTGCAGAAATTGGTGGGAATGAGTTTACAGGTATCTTACATCCCCTCAAGGACTTTAGATTTTGTTCACAATTGGTGAGAGACCAATTAAAGTTGAAATAACATTTCAGTAATAATAATAATACATAGCAAAAGCATCCAAAGACATTTTTGAAAAGGTTTTCCATACCTCTGTCTGTTTTTTTTTTTTTTTTTTTTTTTTTTTTTTTAATATATTTTATTGATTTTTTACAGAGAGGAAGGGAGAGAGATAGAGAGCCAGAAACGTCGATGAGAGAGAAACATCGACCAGCTGCCTCCTGCACATCCCCCACCGGGGATGTGCCCACAGCCAATGTACATGCCCTTGACTGGAATCGAATCCGGGACCTTTCAGTCCGCAGGCCGACGCTCTACCACTGAGCCAAACCGGTTTCGGCCCTCTGTCTGGTTTTTGTTCTAGTCCTACTGAGCACTTTGTAAAAACAGTTATAATAATATTTTATTTATCACTTTGTGTTCTGCCCTTTCCCCTAATCGTATCCAATAAAAGAGTTATATGCAAATTAACTACCACTCTGCTACGCCCACCAGCCATTCAGGAGCAAGTTTGCAAATTAACCTAACCAAGATGGCTGTGAGCAAGAGGCTTGAGTTTCCCTGGCAGTGGAGGGAGCCAAGCTTTCTGCATACCCTGGCTGGCCCAGGCCTCCACTCAAGGCTACAAAGTTTCAATTATAAAAGATAAATAAATCCCAACAAAAATAGTGGCAGTCACGCCAAAACTGGTTTGGCTCAGTGGATAGATTGTCAGCCTGCAGACTGAAAGGTCCCAGGTTCGATTTTGGTCAAGGGCATGTACCTTGGTTGCAGGCACATCCCCAGTAGGGGGTGGCAAGAGGCAGCTGATTGATGATTCTCTCTCATCGATGTTTCTGACTCTCTATCCCTCTCTCTTCCTCTCTGTAAAAAATCAATAAAATATATTTAAAGAAAAAAAAATGGTGGCAGCCATGGAGCTGGAGAGAGCAGGAGGTTTGAGTTGCCCCCAGTGATGGAGGAAGCCAAGCTTCTGCAGCCCTGGCCTGCCTTGGCCTCTACTTATGGCTACAAAGCTTCAATTATAGAAAATAAATAAGTCCTAGATACCAGGACCTCCACTTGGGTTGCCAGGGGTCATGGCCAGCCTGCAAACCACCACAAGGCCCTTGCTCAGGCCACCCCATGTCCCAAGGGAACCCCCACCCTGATCTAGGACACCCTTCAGGGCAAACTAGCCAGCCCCCACCCATGCACCAGGCCTCTATCCTATCTAATAAAATAATAATATGCAAATTGTCTATCACTCCAACACACAAGATGGCTGCTCCCAGGTGGTCAAAGATCTCTGCCCCCAGGTGGACACAAGATGTCCAGCAGGAGAGGGCAATTGGGCAAGACCAGGCCTGCAAGGGAGGGCAGTTATGAGTGATCAAGCCTGCAGGGGAGGGCATTTAGGAGAGACCAGACCTGCAAGGGAGGGCATTTAGGGGCAAACAGGCTGACAGGGGAGCAGTTAGGCATCAATCAGGCTGGCAGGGAAGTGGTTAAGGGTGATCAGGCTGGCAGGCAGAAGTGGTTAGGGGCAATCAGGAAGGCAGGCAGGCGAGCAGTTGGGAGCCAGCAGTCCTGGATTGTGAGAGGGATGTTCAACTGCCCATAGGATCGGGCCTACCAGGATCGGGCCTAAACAGGCAGTCAGACATCCTTCGAGGGGTCCCAGATTGGAGAGAGTGCAGGCTGGCCTGAGGGAAATCCCCTTCCCTATGCACAAATTTCATGCATCAGGCCTCCAGTCTTGTAATAATTTTTATGTTACTGTGGAAGAGTTTAAGTAAGGGAATGACATGATCACCTTTATATTTTAAAAAGATAATTTGGCATCACTAGGGAAGATGGACTTGATGGAAGAGAACCAAAATAGTGTTAAAAAGTAAGGAATGTGTTTAAGAGATGTTTAGGGGGTCCTGCCCATTAGAAGACAGTTCTAGCAAACAGGAAAGTACCCCCCTGAGTTCCCATTGTAAGTTGAGAGCAAGCCGTACCCATCAGCCAAATAGAAATACTGCCTTATTTCTCCTAGAAAGCTCCCATCTGCCTTCAACATTTTGTGCAAGTCTCAGAGACCTGGTTTCATTTTGAAGTAGGCTGAGCTCTGAGTCTATGCAGAGACTAAACCAGTTTTGATCCATTAACAGTGCACAAAAGCATGTAGCTCACAGAGGATATTGTTAGTGCTGTACTTTTGGTACTTAGCCAATTATCTCAGTGGTCAGGAGTGTGTGTGTGTGTGTGTGTGTGTGTGGTGATGACAGGTTTTAAGAACTTTTTCTTGAATAAAACATCATTGTTACTGCAGTAATACATATTAATTTAAAAATTTACTACATAAATTTACTTTCAGAATATATTTGGGAAGGGAGCACTAGACTGTTTCGAGATGGGGTAAATTATGCTGCTCCCCCAAGGTCTTGTTTATACTTAAGGCAAGTCATTTAATCTCTCTGGTGACTAGTCTCCACACCTTTAAAAATGTAGGAATTTTTAACCTCTGAAATGCGTGTTACTACTTCCGTATCTTTTATTTTTGCTGGTGATAAAAAATAATTTTAGTCTTAGTAGTTGATAGAATAATATACTATAAGTTACATTTTATCCTTAATAGTACAGAGGCTATCACTAAGTAGGTTAAGGAAGCCTGTGAACTAGTTATCACTAAAAATAGTCTTCACTTTGAACTAGTTATCACCAGAAATCTTCAATTTGATTTTAAGGTTGTTTTGATCAATAATCAAAAGGCATTTTTATCTAGTTTCACGTTTACTTAGCAGACTGGTAGAATTAGTACAGTGGGATGAGTAAAGTGTAGGGATTGCTTCTTTCTTCCCCTCTCCTCCCTCTGCCTCTTTGCCCTTCTTCTATCATCCCTTGTCTTCCTTTTTGAAGAGGGGACCAACCCTTTTATGTTAGTACTAGAGGGTCCGATGCACGAAATTCATGCAAGTGTAGGCCTTCCTTCCCCCAGCTGCTGGCACTGGCTTCCTTCTGGCACCCGGGACCCGGGCTTCCCTTCAGCTGCCAGAAGGCACTGGGACCCGGGCTTTTCTCTGGCCAGCAGGCACCCAGGGCCCAGGCTTCCCTCACAGTCCCCGCTTCGTTGTCCGGAAGGATATTACACTTTTATTATTACAGATAGTACATATCATTAGAACAGATTTTAGATGACAGTTAATACTTTATATTTTTAGAGAGTTAAAACTGTTTAAAACATTACTCTTGTACAATCTCACTTTAAAACTTTAGCTTCCTTTTTTATTTAAAAATAAAAACCTCGAAACTGTTCAGGTCATGGAAAATTCCTCTTACCTAACTAACTCATTTAGAAAAGACTTTATTTAATTGATTTCACTATACTTTTTTTGCTGAAACAGATACATACCCTACTGTTTCTAAAAAAGGGTGTCAAGTAGCTCTTTCCCTACAGTTAATTTGCTATTTAGTATTAAATCATCTTTGAAATTCTATTTATTTCTTAAAGTTGCAGGGTGTTTTATATAATTGAAAGAGTTGAAAAGAACCACAAAGTCATAACTTAGTCAGGTGATCCAGAGTTGTGAAAACAGACTGATAAAAGGGCCAGAAAAAGCCTTAGGTGTGCATGGAGAGAAGCACTGCCATATTTGGGCCTTCATTAAGATTGTATATTGCTTTGCATATGTACACATAACGTTTTTTTTTTTTTTTTTTTGGTGAGTTTCTGTATTTGATCTTAATTTTTAAGATATTTTAGATGAGATATTTTAAAAGGTGGATTTGTGTTATAATGGCATATTGTCTATTTGAAAGAAACCACTACTGTCTACTGAAAAAAACACACTATTTTGTTTCCACAGAAACCTGCTAATATTTTAGTTATGGGTGAAGGTCCTGAGCGAGGAAGAGTAAAAATTGGTATGTTATATCTTTGATAAGTCACAGTGTAGAACTCTTTTAAGACTTTTGTAGGCAGCTGTATCACTTCTAATTTTTTGCTTTAATAATATGCCTATATTCATGTACCTCCATATGATTGAAGCCATTTTTAAAGAGTATACATTAAAAGTGAAGTGTTTCACACTCTTCAAAGTGTCAAACAATCTTTAGAGACTGAGTGATCTGATTATAAAATAAGCCATTCAAGTTTTTAAAAACTTTTACCTTCATTAAAAACAGCCTTTAGTGAGGGAGCGGGTGCAAGGGGGGGAGGGGGTGTGTGGTAATAAGGACACATATGTAATAAAGAAAAAAATTAAAAAAATAATTTTAAAATAAAAAAGAAAAAGCCTGTAGAGGTGAGTGGCTTCTATTTGTGTTAGACCAGCAGCTCACCTTTAGCCCCAAGGGCATACAGCATACTGATAATGAAACCCTCAGGTCTGTTCACCTGAACTAGATTAGATCAGAACATGTGCTTCTGTTGACCCCATCTAGATTAGGAATTACAAACCAGGAAAACCACTGAAGCCAGATAGATACAGAACCCTAAGTTCTAACAAGCCTGCGTTGTAGCAGGCCTTTGCCTAATGGTTAAAAAAAAAAAAAAAAAAAAAAGTTAATGAGCATTCTGTAGTTCGGCATGTTTTTAATAGCTTCTTAAAAATATATCCAAATAAAACTTTACCCATTTTTAATAATTTATAAGAATAAAATTAAATTAATTTATCCTAATTGGTTTTTTTCATTGTCATTTCTAAGTTGTGTTTGTCACATTTAGTTTGTTTTGTGTGTGGGTAGAAATGTTGTAACTGAATTGAATGAATTTAAAGGCAGCAGGTTTGTGGAACCATTTAACAAAGTGAAATAGTAATTTCTGATTGCATGATTTAATATGAATAAGAATTATAAGCTGATTTGTACCACTTCTCCAACAAAGAAAAACATAGGTGTTGTTACTAACTCTTCTTCCCTCTTCTCCTCTGTCAATTTCCCAAATCTTACTTTCCACTTTTAATTAGACTCAAATATACTCTTTTATGATATAAACCTTGCAAACTTTTTAGTAGTGATAATATTTATGCACCTCAAAGTACTCCTAGTCATTGATTTCCCTAGAGAACCAGGCCCTGTTAGTACTGTCATCAAATGATGTTAAGTCCTAACCAGTGCTTTTAAAGAATTTTGTCCAATCCAGTTTGGTGGCACCAAATTAAAATATAAATTCAAAGCATGCAAAATGTAAAAGACCCAAATAACTGTGACAGATGTGTTCTTTACTGTAAAACTTGGTGGAAACATATACTAAGGTAATATAGCTTGGGAGTATATGTCTGTGTAATGTGTATCATGTTGGCAGGTTTGTGGAGGAGGGCTTAAAAGCATTTGCTTTTGAAAAGAAATAAACAGCTTCTATAAACCAGTACTTAGTAAGCTGACTCATGGTTTTAATTCTTTGACAAATGTCTGTGTTTTTTAAACCTCCATAATTAACCAGATTAGACTAGGCTCTGCTTCATTAGAAATGTTTATTAGAACAAACTTAACAAATGGTGGATGAATCTTGAAATTTTTTAATTGGTGGTATGGTAGTGATTTTTTATTCAACATGTGTTTGCCAAAAGCTATATGTAATGACACTGTACTTGATACTAAAAAGAATAGAGAAATGAAAAAGACGCAATTTTTGCCTTTAATAGGATTACACTGTAGTTGGATAAACAGCCATGCCTCAATAACTACACTACATATTAAACCATGTTAAGTACCATGAAATGTATCTCACCACAGCTCCAACTTGGATATGAGTGATGGCATTTGTCAAATCACTTAATTTCTTCTAACCTCAGTATTGTCATTTGGAAAAGAAGGTGATTAATTGAACTATATGACTTTAAAGTCTTTTCCAGCTTAACAAAATACTGTGTCTCTTAAGTTAGTAGAATTCAACCCAAATAAATGGGGAGAAATAGTGGTGTTAACATACTATATAGTATTCAACTTTTGATTATACCAGTGAACAGACTTATTGATGTAATGATGGAAAGCCTTACTCCGATTTCATTTCTCAGTGCTTATGACCAATGCAAAGATTGGAAATGCAGCTTAACAATCCTGTCCAATGGTGGTATGGCAGACAGAAAGAAATCTGTCTAGAGGAGTAACGTCACCCTTGACCTCTGGCAGCACAGCATGTCTCTAACCTAGTTGAAGAGTGAGTGACAGTAGTTTGCAAAGAATGAAGATTTCAGACTTGTTTTACCTTTAAGTTTTGTGTTTTTATCTCCCAGAATTCAGCACATTTTCATATCTTACTAAATAACAGTGATAAAATTAGAATAATCAATTAAATTTGTTAAAATCTATTTACTTAACATTATTCTTTGGGTTTTTTGTTTGTTTGTTTTTTACAGCTGATATGGGCTTTGCCCGATTATTTAATTCACCTTTGAAGCCTTTAGCAGATTTGGATCCAGTAGTTGTAACATTCTGGTACCGAGCTCCAGAATTACTTCTTGGGGCAAGACATTATACCAAAGCTATCGGTGAGTAGAACTAATTAAGATTCTGTGATGTTTTAAAATTGACTTTATTGTTGTAAAATATAAATATTTCTATATATTTTTGAATCAAGTAACAGAAAATTATAAAAGAGAAAACTAACCTAAAATTATACTACCTTGAAATATCATCATTAGCATTAGGGATATATCATTTCAGACATATGTCTCTGGTAGATAAATAGATATTAAAAACATTTTAAATAATATGAGATCATATTATGCATTCTCATTAAAAAGTATTTTAAATTTTACTTGAAAGGAGAATAAGCACAGTAAAATATCTAAGTCATTGAACTTCAGACAATTATTTTTTTCAAATATTAGTTCCTAAAAGATTCCTTTAAAGTTAAGGAAAAATTATTTTTAAAAGTAGTAATCTAGAATATCTTAATTCACTTTAAAATTTTTTATAGTATTGGTTACCTCCCTATTATGACGTATGAGGAAATTAGTGCTTTTATACTTCTTCCCCCACCTACCTCTCATTTTATAAGTTATATTAGTAATATCATTAGTACCACTACTTTGTTTATTATTTCAGCCTTTAATTTCTGTTTGCAAGCCATAATTCCCATGGTTTAACTTAAATCAGGTAATGTAATAGATTCAGTGTTTAGCTACCATAGTCCTTTTACCACAGGTTTATGTGCTTTGCCTCTTTTTGCCTTTATTGTATGTTTTTACTGATTACTTAACTTGTTCTGTATATGATATTAAACCTACCTTTTCTTGGATAACTACATCTTGAAGTTTTCTGTGTTTTGCTCTCTATTCTGGATTGTGTTTCATCCTGGCTTTTCCTTTTCTTTTTTCTTTTTTAATTCCTATGGGTTGGGTATGTTTCTTTCTGGATTTCATTATTTCATTCCTTATTTCACTACAGCATATTCTCAAGTAACAGCCTTTAAAAGGGTATCTTAGAGGTAAATTTTCTAGTTCTTGTATTTCTGAAAAATGCCTTTATCATACGTGACAATTTCTCAGACTGCAAAATTATTTGTTTAGGTGCAAAATAATTCTTCAGAATTTGATGATGCTCTTCCATTATCTTTAGCATCAGTGTTGCTAATGAAATGTCTCATGCCAACCTTCTTCTCATTTATTGGTATATTGCCTGGGTTTTTTGTCTTTCTTAAAACAAAATAGATTTTCTCATCCTGATATTTCACAGTGAATCTGCTGGCTACTTGGTAGACACATTCGATCTGAAAAGTCATTTTCTATATCCCTATTTATTTCTCTCCTAAACTAAGTGTAGACAGATGTTAGACTTCTTTGATTGAGCCTTTATACCACTTTTTTTCTCATGTTTTTTCTGCCTTTGTCTTTTTTATTTCCAAGAGCCTTCTTATCCTCTGATTAATTTATCTTAACATCTTCTTTTATGAAAAGAAAATCTCAAAAATCTGTTAAGATAGTGATAACAGTGCTTTTTAATTATAACTTGCTGTATTTCTAGAATAATTATCCTTTTTCTATAGGCATTTTATTTATATGTCTTGATCACTTCTTTCAATGTGGCAATTGTTCTTCAACTGTTGACCCTTGAATGTTTCTTCATATTTAAGAATCTGATTACAGAAAGTTGTTTGGGAACTTTGTGTACGCTTACTTTAGGGTGATCCAGCAAAGAATTGCCATTAACCAGGAAACCCTAAATGCCATCATGCACAAGTCTTTGCTTGGAGGCCATTCACACTCTTTAAAGCAGGAATTCTCTCACTTGTGGCCCAGTCTGTGTGCCTGATAGCCCCAGGGCCAGGGAAGAGAGTGGTGGGAGGACGATCGGCTCTTCAAAACACTGTTGAGATCAGTGGAAGCTGGTCTTGGAGAGGAGACGCACTGTGGTCCTATAGCAGTGATGTCTTGTGGATTTCAGGGAAGCCAGATAGATGGCAGAGGCCGAGGGAGACAGTGAGGCAGGATGCTGGCCTTCGTGAAGACACGTCTCTGAATTACAGCCACCACACAAGACCCAGTAGTGTTGACGAGGCTTGGCTGCTCTGCCCTGGAGCATTCGACATTGAGAGGCCTCTGTTCCCCCCTGACCATTCTGACATTTTGGAGAGCCATAGGCCGCAGCCAGTAAAGTTAAGGTGTAATGAAATGTATTTTAGAAGACTTTTTTTCTTCTAACTCATCAAATAATCACAGATCCCACGCTCCGTGTGGAGGCTCCGGAGGTTCCACGCTGAGTTTACAGCCTTTCAGGGGAGGCAGGCATTAAACTGTTACTACGAGCTGAGTGCTGTTGTACAGTTTGTTCAAAGGGTGGGTTTGATATTGCCAGGGTGGTAGAGAGGAAAAGGCACTCCAGGCAGGAGGAACCACTTGGAAACCTTCAGGTGTGTTGTATGAATGGAGGATAGGAGGAATTAGTGTGGCTGGAAGATGTGATGTTTGGGAAGGAAGTACTTCAAAATACTGCTTCCTACTTAACAATAATACTGTGGCCTAGATCCTTTTCTGTACGATTATGTCTGCCTTTCATGTCCCAGAAATATTTTTATATATGTCTGCCTAGATCAGACCTTCACATGGCCAGTCTCTTCTTTTCATTCAGATCTTAGTCAAAATACTGCCTCTTCAAAGAGAATTCCCTTGATCACAGTATAAAGTAACCACCTCCCTTCCCCATCAGAGTTCTGTCTTACTCTCTTGATAGCCTAAAATCCACTAAAACAGATCAACCAGTCCTAACTCTTCTCCAGTTATAGGCGACAGCCTCTATGGCACAGAGTAGTGACTTAGTACTCTGTTGAGTAAGTGAATGAATCTTGTTCCTGGGGATCTCCTCCTGTTCTTGTCATTACTGTGGGTTTGTATCTTTATTACTTCGTATCCATTTCAATGTATACTCAGAAAGGTAAAAGGAGAAATACTTGTGATCATTTCCACATATCAATCTTGAATCCAACATGTCTTTTTTCACAAAATCTTTATGTTCACTACACTTCATACCAGCATTAAGATCACATTTTGTAAAAAAATAAAGGTAAAGTCAGCTTGATATGGAATTTCTCAACTATCTTTGTGAGTTTTCTATAAATCTAAAATAATTCTAAAGTAAAATGCGTGTATTTTAAAAAGTCAGAAGGAAAAGTAAAGATTATTGAAGGTAGTTCTGTTTTTGAGTTACATATAATTATCTAAACACACATTTGGTTATCTTTTTTACAAATACATTATAAATATACTTAAAAGCATTTAAACTAATATGATCCATAACTATTTTTCCACCTAGAAAATGAATATTTCAAAATAGTGTTACATTTGGTAAGACATGCTAATAGACCATACAAATAGAAAGTGATTACCTAGTGTTTGCTGCTATTAACTGAAAACTTGAGGCTTTGAAATCACTTAAATAAATTAAGAAATACACTGTTGGCCCTAGTCAGGTAGCTCAGTTGGTTAGAACGTCATCCTGATGTGCCAGGGTCTCAGGTTTGATCCTAAGTCAGGGAGCATATGGGACGCATAAGTAAGTGGAACAACAAATCTCTCCTCCCTCCCTCCCTCTTTTTCTCTCTCCCAAAATCCATCAATAAATACAATTTTTAAAAAATGTACTATCACAGAAGCTTGTGACTTTGGCTCATTATTATATTTTTCTTTTCTCTTAGTAAATTTATATTTTACTGTGAACATTAAGGTTTGTATAGCCTGATATTCACTAATTCTACAATCCCAACAGCTTTAATGAAAGAACTCTTTGTCATAAAGTAAACTATCAGCAGTTAGGTAGATTCTTTTAGTCAAATGACTTTGTAATTTGGGAAAGAGAATGCCTTCATAGCTTTTCCCTCTTATTTTCATCAACATTAAAATTTATTGAATAACTTAAACTTTTGAAAACTTCAGAGAAACCAAAATGAATGCAAATTATGTAATTTAAGGGATGTCCAGTTGAGAAAACAGTATGAATATATGCATAAAATAATTTTGTCATCTTTAAATAGAAGTAACAAAGACTAGCAACCTGACTTGTAGCCTTAACTCTGTCACTCTGGAGAGTGTGTGTGTTTAGGCAAAATGACCTAAACTCATCTCTTAGATCACCATCAACTCTGAAAGCTCTATGACTTTAGGTAAAAACGACTGCCTTCTTAGATAGGGAGATCACAAAGGTTACTAACTTGGGTTGAAACTCAGGTCAGTGACAGCCCCTCTTCCGTGGTGCTCCCCACCTCATGTCCACCTCACGTGGCCAAGAACCATCTTGCATCAAAACATTAGGACAAAAAAAGTTATATTGGTATCTTTATTTTTTGTTTGAGAGAGAAATTACACATAAACTATTTTTTATGTAAGTTTTTAAAAATAGAATAAAAGAGTACAAAATGAAATTTCTTTCTTGATTTTAGAGTCTCCTATCAATCCCATTCTTCCCATCACCTATACAGGAAGTCTAAGAGTCCAGTAAAGTAATCGACAGGTTCTTCACGCCACAGTGAAAACTATGTACCAAGGACTTCCTTAGCAGATTGACTTCCCTGTCAAATACTTGTAGTGTGAGCAGTTGGTAGATGAACCTGTGTGATTGAATTTCTACATAAACACCTTTGGCATCATTTAGAAGAGTTAAGTCTACTAGTGGAGTTTGGAGGATTAATTTAAAGTAAAGGCTGATAAGAAACAGCGAAAGAGCATAGGGGAGAAATCTGAACATGTTCCCACTTGCTATTACAAACACATTTTAGTGCTGTGATCATCTATTCCATTGTTCAGAACTGTAAGCTGAATCATTAAATCAAAGAGAGGAAATAATAGGATATAAACATTGCACTCCCTTAACAAAGTTAAAATCATTTTGAGCATCTGGGGTTTTACTTTGATTGACTTTGTGGAGAGGCTGAAAGGGGATTATTAATTTTTACTTTATTAATAGTAAACAAGTCTCAAGTTTTACTAAATTATGGATTTTCAAGCTCAGATTTTTGTCATCAAATAACTGAATGTGTGCTGATCATGGAGCATTC